GCCAAATCACAACAGGAGGGACCGAAGTGGGTGAAGAGGCCGGAGGAGACTCCTCATAAGGAAATTCAGTCTCCACAAAGTCAATGTCACGAGAAACCAAGAAAATTTTACAATCCAAATCATAGACTCGCCACCCTTTCTGCCCAAGAGGATAGCCCACGAGCACACCTTTACGACTGCGACTAGCAAATTTGTCGCTACCACGGTCCCGGTTATACACATAGCATAAACACCCAAGGACACGTAATCGAGAATAATCAGGCAACTTCCCGTAGAGCATCTCATACGGGGTTTTGTTACCCAGAACACGCGAGAGAGTGCGATTAATTAAATGGGCATCAGTAAGAACACAATAGCCCCAAAACTGAAGAGGTAGATGGGCTCGAAATCGCAACGCCCGAGCCACATTAAGAATATGTTGATGTTTTCGTTCCACACGGCCATTCTGCTGAGGGGTACCAACACAAAAGGTCTCATGTAAAATACCTTCACGACGAAAATAATCAGTCATACACATAAACTCAGTACCATTGTCACTTCGAACCACACGCACCAATGTATAAAATTGACGCTTAACCATAGCAAAAAAATTCTTTAAGACAGAAGACACTTCTGTTTTATCACCAAGGAGATAAATCCAAACACCCCTAGAATAATCATCAACAATGGTCAAGAAATAACGAGACCCACAAAAGGTAGGAACCCGATAGGGCCCCCACAGGTTACAATGTACCAAATGAAAAATGCCACTACTAATAGTACGACTGAGAGAAAAACTGTCCTTTTTCTGTTTGACCCGAAAGCAAACATCACATGACTTATTCAAAACGGAAGTCTGAGAATCAATAAAAGATAAATGTGACAAAGCACGATCCGATGGATGTCCCAACTGTTGATGCCATAAATCAGAAGAAACCTTCACAACTCGAGAAGACGCAACCGAAACTGTCCCCCGAAAAAAATAGAGTCCCCATATCTGCTCACCCGCTCCAGTCACCATCTTCGAAGTGCAATCCTGAATGACACAAAACTTATTAGTAAAGTGGGCAGTAAAGCCAGACTTATCCAACAACTGGAACAGAGATATCAAACTACACTGTAAAGTGGGTACAAATAAGACATCATGCAAAACAATAGAGGTCCCCAAATAAACAGTGCCCAATTTACTGGCTGGTGTCAAGGATCCATTGGGTAACTGAACAGGGTGAGCAGGAATGTCACGAACGTCACACAAAAATTCTAAGAAACCAGTCATATGGTGAGAAGCACCACAATCATACATCCAATCATTTAAACCTCGCTTAGCAGACGACTTACTGTCCTGTATAGCAGAGTTGACCAAATGAACAAGTTGAGTCCACTGTTCATCAGTCAATCCACTGGCAACACGATCGGAGGAGCTCAGTCCCGCATTTGAGGAGGTCCCAACTTGCATAGCTGCGGCTGCAACATTCGCTTGGGCATGAGCACCTCCGTCTCGACCGCTGCGGCCACGCCGACCATCCCGGCGGCCAGCACCACCACGAGGGTACCAATCCGGATAACCGAGGACCTCAAAATAGTTGGCCGCGAGATGTCCGCTTTTCTCGCAATTGTAGCAGACACGCTGTCGTCCTTCTCCGCCGTTTGGAATACCGCCGCTGCCAGGCTGATCGGGCTTGGAACTCGGCTGTGATGAAAAACCCGCCGCCATGAACGCATGAGAAGAACTATGACTGTCACGCCCTCCGGCAGCAGATTGTACAGTATCGTCGATGTGGGAGATGGTTTGCATTCTCTCTTCCTGGATGCAAGTAAAATAAACCTGATTTAATGTCGGAAGCGGTTCCTGGGCCAATAAATTCGAACGAGTAGCGCCATAGAGGGTTGCATCTAGTCCCTTTAGAAATTGATGAACACGTTCACTTTCATATTTACGATCCCATTCGGCCTTCAAATTGCACTTATAAAGAACGCAACAACACATGAGGGGTTTCTCATAATCGGCTAATTCTTCCCAAAGTTTGGTGATCTGACCGTAGTATGCTTCAATACTCAAACCCTTTTTCTTACAAACCGCCAGATCCGATTTGAGTTGTTGAATTCGAGGACCGTTCTTCATTGTAAGTCGTTCCTTCAAAGAGCACCATAAATCTGCCGCAAGTTCCGGTTCCACCACAAAAGATCGGAGAGTGGCATCAATACTGTTCATAAGCTACGAAAGCAACAGGGCATTGTTTGCTTGCCAATCTTCAAACAATTCATCATCGTTTACTGGACGCGCGATCAAACCATCTAAAAAACGAAACTTCTTGCGCGCTCGAAGAGCGGTGCGGATGCTACGGGACCATTCTTCGCATTGATATCTCCCTTTAACTGGACTTGAGTGATCAAAAGACCCGGATTGTCGCTCGAAGTGATGTCGTATGGAGAGATCGTTTTTCTGGGAACAGTAGCCGACCCTGAGCCGGAGTCGGAGCCTTCACCGGACATGGCGATGTCAGTAGAGAGGAAAAGTGAATATTAATCTGTTCTGAAAAAAAATACTAGTCTTCTTTGATACCATGACAAGAATGAAAAGGAAGAGAAGGAATGGACTGAGACATCAAATTTGATGTCTTGCGGCTCGCATGTCTCATATATATATATATATATATATATATATACAATTAGGTTTATAGAATGACTTAATCCCTAAGATACTAAGAGGATGTTTGTTTATAAGATTTTTTGAAAAAATTCTCACATTTTAACTCAACCACTTTTTTTAACTCAATTTTAACTCAACCCCACTATCATCAATATTATCAATATAATTAAATAATATCAATCAATCATTTATACACACCACATAAACTTTAATTCACTATTTATCCACTCACATTATTTTAACTAACCATCACATCACATCTTCTCTTTCCTACTTTTACATCAAACCAATTTTAATTATTTTATTTTAAATATTATTTTAATATACCCACTAACAACTAACCATACAACTTTTTCAAAATTAACTAAACCAAACCAAAAAATCTAAACAAACCAAAAAAATTCCATAAACAAACATGCTCTAAGATAATAAGGGTACAATAGAAAATACACAATACTAAATACTAATTACATCAACAGCAAGCCTACAAGATTAAGTACTAGTTACAATTAATTTATAATATTTTTATTTATAATTATTATGATAATATGGAAGTATTTAACTAGTTAAATTCCAATTTAGATATCACATGTAAATTAAAGAATTTTCAGTTTCTTTTCAATTTTTTTTTTAAATTTTAATAAAAATATAAAATTTTGAGTACAAATTTGAAATATCAAGTTCAATCAATCCAATTAAACCCACACATTCTGTCTGGATTTCAAATTTTTTGGCCAAAACACAAATTACGTATTGGGATATACCTTCAAGAAAATTCCCTCCAATTCCAGGCTCGTGGGCCCCACTGCGGTTCAGCTTATAAGAGCATGTTTGTTTATAGAAATTTTTGGTTTGCTTTGGATTTTTTGGTTTGGTTTGGTTAATTTTGAAAAAGGTAGAACGGTTAGTTGTTAGTGGGTGTATTAAAATATTATTTAAAATAAAATAATTAAAATGGTTTGATGAAAAAGTAGGATAGAGATTGTTTGATGTGATGGTTAATTAAAATAATGTGAGTGAATGAATAGTGAATTAAGGTTGATGTGGTGTGTATGAATGATTGATTGATATTATTTAATTATATTAATAATATTGATGATAGTGGAGTTGAGTTAAAAATTGAGTTAAAAAAAGTGGTTGAGTTAAAATGTTAATTTTTTTTGGAAAATTTCCATAAACAAACATACTCTAAATATACTCTCTTCAACCCTATCTCATTTGTTTGACCAGTTGATGAAGAGAAATCAACCACGTTATGCGCATACAGACATGCTAATGAGGTCTTCCCCAAATTCGAAACCCTAAAATTCCAAATCGTCCTCATCACTCCGTCAAAATCCCGAATTTCCTGCATCTTTTGCGTCCCTTATTTTGGGAAAGGGCCAGCAGCAGATGAAAATTAAGCTCCTGGGGCATCTCGACCAAGGTTGTTGTTGTCGGATTTTGATAGGGTGGGGTTATGTATAGGGCCAATCTAATCGGGTCCGGGTTGG